CTTTGTTTTCACCAAAAATGATACTACACACATTGAAGTCAGATAAGGGGCTCAGGTTGTATTAGTAACATGGAAGGAGGGTGAGTCTATCAGCATTTGTAGTCCAATCTTTAAATCAAAATTGTATATTTAGCTTGGTTCGCTTAAAATAAATCTGATTTGTTTATATCAGATTATTGTTCATAACTTGTACGTTCTATTTGTCACCCCCTTGGCATATTTTAGACTAGTAGAGCTTATAATTCTATAGTTATTGTAGGTTGATATTTTAAAATCGCATTAGAAAATATAGCATCCCTATGAGGTAGGCTTATTACCCTATTTTATTGGTAAAATAAATTGGTATAGATTTAATTATTACCCCATTTTATTAATGAGGAAATTGAGGTTTAAGGAGGTCTCCTAATTTGCTAAAGGGTACAGCTAGGAAGCAGGAAGGAGCTAGGATTTGAAACCTTGCAATATCATGCCAAGTCTAATCGGTCATGTTCCTGGTTCTCAAGTTAGATCCAGTGAGGGTTTTCCCCACAGTGGACCCCAGCAAACCAGACCTGGGGTCCCCTCACAGGAAAGGACAGCACTGCCAGAGAATCTAAGACATCACAACAGTAACTGAAACAGACACACAAACATATAACAAAGTTTATTTTCCCATTTCTTGATCCTTTTACAACAGTTTTATGACTGACAAAATAAAACTTTTTTTTTTGGCCAGAAAATGTGAATAGCACTCTAACCTTTGTCACACTGAGTGGGGAACTCAAGGCCAGGAAAGCGGAGGATGGTATCATCCTGGACTTGCCTCTTTATCCAGCCCACCCCCAGGTCAGCTCTTTCTAATTGATAAACTGTGTACAACTGACAGTGTGCCTATTTTACAATGGTTTTGTCTTTTTCTCTATCTAGGACTTCCAGGAAGTAAAGGACTTGATAAAGGTTAGTGAAAAGAATCAAACCTGAGCTCATGGAATTTGAACACTTGTTACTGTTTGAACACAAAGATTCGGTACAAGCTGATCCCAAAAAACAGGCCTGCTTCCAGTATCAGTGTTCTAATTTAAGCTTGGATCAATAGTGAACAGTGCATTTGGGATTTGAATGTTAATATTGAATCTGTTTGGTGAGGAGGTTGACCAGTTGTTTTCCCTGACTCCACTGCCAACATTAGCCTCCATGGCAGGGTGGGGAGAACTGCTTTAAGCACGTTGGTAGGAAAATGGAAAATATTCAGAGTTCTTTCTACCTTGTTCATGGTAGAAAGAACTTAACCTGATCTTTCTAAGCTTCAGGGTCAGCATCTGTAAAATGGGAATGACAAAGGGTTATTTATCAAGAGTGTTGTCATTTTGTGTTCCTAGAAACTGGCAATAAGATCCTCAGCTGAGAATTAAACTTTCAAATCACATCAGAATCCATGCAGAAGAAATTCAGCATTGCTTATACATTGCATAATGTTTATATGTCTGTTTTAGTCACCTTTTCAGAGAGACCAAAAGGTCCCGGAGAGCAGATGGGATCTGGCTACTGGGATTCCTAGTTCTAGAGAGAGGGACATTGGTTAGCTATGGTCACAGAGGTAGACAGCCCAGGCACCACTCAAGGTGGAGGGAGTCTGGCCTTGGGACCTGGAGCAGCTCAGTCCCTAAAGAGAGTTACAAAACCTGAAGCCACCTAACGACGGCCAGACAACTGCTATGTCATCACCATTGTCATCTGCTCTGCTGGCAGCCAGGGGTAGTGCTTAGAGTGGCTTTTGTCCCCTCATAAGCTCCATCAGCACTCCAAGTCAACAAACAAACAAGCAAGCAAAACAACGTTATTGGAAATGAACGAGATTATGTGCAGTCTTATGTAAGGTTGAACAAGGTATCTTTAGAAAGTGTTGCTGTTACTGATCTGTAGCGTACAAGCTGAGTGAAGAGTGTGCTTGCCAAGCAGAGCAGCATTAAGATGAGTCCTCTAGTCCTCAAGTCCAAACTGCCAGACCCAAGTCCTTGTCATGTAGAATGTTCTAGTTACTGCTGCAGGAACCCCACATATATTACTTCATTTAACCCCCATAACAACTCTAAGAGGTAGGCACAAGTCCTCCCCCTATCTCAAAAGACAGTAGACAGTAATGATTCAGAGCACTGACTCCAGAGTTCCTCAGACATGGGTGTGTGAGTGAGTGAGTGAGTGAGTGAGTGAGTGAGAGAGAGTGTGTGTGTGTGTCTGTGTCTGCAGATGCTCAGGAGAGGTGGTTTCCCACACAGGGGATCGAGGACTCCACCCAGGGACATTCCTGAAAAGTCTTTGGTCTGTCTTCACAGACTGCCATAGGTGACACACTGGTCCAGGACATCTGCTATTCTCCAGATACCCGAAAACTCCTCGTTCGGCTCAGCGACACTTACAACAGGTGAACAAGACTTTTGGCTTTGTTGGCACTTTGGAGAGGGCTGACACCCACATTTATGGCTCTGGCTTGGTCTGGCTGTGCTATGTCCAGTCAAACCATGATTTGTGCAGAGAGTTTTTTTACCAGTAGGAAGTTACCCCACTTGCTCCTCTCTCCCCTCCTGCTGATGTGTTTGGGTGAGCCACTCCCTGGCCTGCCTTAGTTTGTGTAGTGGGGGGTCTGTGGAATGGGTTTGTCCTGATCCATCCCATTTACAAACAAGGTCATTTCTGGAAAACCTGAAAGTGAACACACAGAATCTGCCGCAAGTAGAGAACACAGGGAAGGTGAGAGGACTCATTCTCACCCTTAAAGGAGAGCCCGGTGGGACCCAAGCGTTTGACTTTTACTCCAGATATTTTGCACCATGGGTCGGTGTGGCAGAAGACCCTGTAACAGGTACTTTTTGACATCGGTCCTGGGGAGGGTTAAACAATGGAGGGAGGATAATAAATAGTTGTTTAAGTGCCCTTCCTGTGACCTTTCAGATTGCTTGGGTTCTGAGCTGCCTTTGTTTCCCTATCTCCCCTCCCCCATCCCTTCACTGCCGTCTCATGTGAAAAACAGAATTTAGAAAGCAGCGTAGCAAGGTTAAACCTTAGTGTCAAACAGCCTGGGTTTGCCTCCTAGCTTCCTAGCTGTTGACCTTGGGCAAATGGCTTAACTTTAAAAGTTTCCATTCCTACCTCTGTAAAATATAGATAAGATCCTGTAGGGTTATATAAACCCAAGGCAAGTTAAGTACTTATCACAGTGCCTGATCCACAAGTGCCCAATAACTATATAATAATAACCATGAAACTGGCTCCCCAATCTGCCATTTGTACACTTCAGGGGCTGATGTCTTTTGTCCTTTTCAGTGACCATCCTGCATGATCACTGACATCTAGATAAGATTTGTTTTGAAGGATAGACTCCTGGGCTGCAGGTGGGAAATAGGGACAGGAATTGTGTTTCTTTTCCTTCCCTCCACCTTTTCCAGACCTGCCTCCAAAGTGGATGGGATGAGTTTGGGAATAGGCATATTCAAAATCTACCAGCCAGAAGCAGAAGTATGAGACCTATGACGGGCAAAACTGTGAAGTCTCTACTTTCATCATCTCTGAGAAGGGTGGGCTGAGCAGCTTACGGGGGGCAATGCTTGATGGAGGAGGCTGGTGCATGGGATGGCAGCCAGGACAGAAGGACGCTGGGCAGAGACTTCAGGCTCCTATTCTGGTCAGATGGCAGGGGCTGGGATGACTTAGTCTCTGAGGAACAAAACATGTGAAATGCAAAGCTAAATAAGCAAGCACTTCTAAAGACTCAGGAAAATGCCCAAATGACAGCCAAACAGTCCAACTCAACCCTTCCCCCATGGAAAAGAAGTTCTGAGCGGATGTGCACACGCACAGCTGCTTTACAAAGATTTTAATTGGCACAGAGGGCAAGCTTTCCCCCTGGAACAATGATTTTCTAGAGTGCGAAGGTCTTTGGACAGTGATGACCAACCATCTCAGTTTGCTTGAAACTGAGGGATTTTTCAGCTTCAGGACCTTCCGTGCTAAAACCAGGACAGTCTCAGGCAATCTGGGATGGCTGGTCAGACTATGCAGACCTCCTATAACATCTAGTAAGTTTTCCTGGAGGAAGGGCCTTTTCCAAACCAACCTTCCCCCCGCCCCAAAGACTTTCGGCAGTTATTACTTTATAGTTTGTTTCTTCATTTTACTATCTATTCTCTGATCTAAACCTAGGACACAATTATGTGAAAAAATACCTCACTGAAAGTTCTTTTGCCACCAAGTCTGGGAATGTGTGCTTGGTGGAAATGCTGGCATTTGTCAAGAGTTCCCACCTTTCCTTGCATGTGCATCCCAGGAGGAAGCAGATAGTCTCCTGTGAGATGTAGAAAGACTTATGTGAAGGACTTGATTTTCCTACCATGGGTGGTGTGAACTGTAGAAAGGACAAGAATTAAACCCTGCAGTTTGATTCAGCCTTCAGCAAGTGTAAAACATAGCAAATGCATCATTTGGAGGGGCTTATCCAGAAATTCTACACCTTCCTTCCTGTCTGCAATCATAATTCCACACTCTGCTGTGGCCATGTCAACATGATGACTAAGTCATCTACTGTTTAGTAAGGCTGCATAGTTGATTGTAATTGCTTATAAATTTACCACAAAGTTGCCCGTTTCCTTTGTGATTGTATCATAACTTTTCATTTCTTTTAAGGGTCTGCACATACTGTTCTCAGCAGCTACTGGTCCCAGCAACTGGGGAAGAAAGATATGCGTGGTAAGACAGCTCTTTTTCAACTAAAAAACCTGCCTAATCATCAATGGGGGGGGAAAGGGGGGACATCTGTAATACTTTCAACAGTAAAGATAAATTAAAAAAACACACACCAAAAACCAAAACACACACCTGCCTAACCTTAAGCTAGTATTCCTTCTCATGTGTACTATACACTTGAAGATACAATAAAATGTATCATCCATGTGAAAATGAAAGGTTTTTAAACTCCTTCACCCTGAACCCTCTACTCAAAACATCCTCTATCCCAATCACCTTGCACATTTGTCCCTCCCAACACAAAGACACACTTCCCAATAGATGTTTGTTGAATAAAATTAAATAGCTGTGTAACTTTGGCCCAGAGAAGTTACTTATGATGTACAAGTTGAGACTGGACGATCAGTAAGGTTCCTTATTGCTCTTACTAGTCACAGGATTGAATCAAACAAATTGCTTTTGAGCCAAGTCCCCTGGTGATTAATATATTGCTCAAGGGCAAAGAAAATAGATCTGAGACAATGGTGGCTACACAGCCCTAATAATCAAAGTAGGAGTGTGACCCTAAAGGGTAGAGGTCTTACTTAGTGGGAGGGGTAGGCCTCTGTGAGCCTGATTTGGGGATAGCAGGTGCCTGTTTTTTCTTAGGTGAGAGCAGTTACTTCCCTCAGCACTGAGCTCCAGGAAGGCTGAGGCTGTGCCTCTTGTGTGCCTGACATGTGTGGTTGCTTGATAACCACAATGAATGAATGAACTCCCTTGGTCTTATTCAGACCTGGAAAAACGGGCCTTCTCAGGAGGGACAAGACCACCCCTCTTGATCTTCTTAGATATCTAGTTCCTGGGTCTATCTTTTCACATGTCCTTACTCCTAGACAGAGCTGGGGAGGAAGCTCTGGGTGGGGTGAGTCTGGGGCATTACAGGAGGTGAGAAAGGAAGTAGTTCAGGAAGGAAAGACATGGAGCTATATGTTTTGTGGATCAAATTGCATCTGTGGCCCCTCAGTCCTCAGGAGAACCGGTTGGGCTGGGTAGCACCATGGACAGATGAAGGAATTTGTTTAAACTGCCCTGGGAGGATTCGAGAGTTTGTAATGAGAGGTGTCTTACTATACTCTGTTCATTAAAAAGGGTGAAACGATCTTAATTTGTGATTCTTTTTGTTTTCTCCAGCTTTTCAGTGCTCCTGCCGAGGAGGAGAACTGGAGATTTCATTGCGTCCCGATGGCCGAGTTGACATTAGGGGAGGCGCTGCTGTAGTTTTAGAGGGCACACTGACAGCTTAGAGATGCTGTGCTGAAATGCTGCTCTCCTGGACTGTTTGAACGAAGAGAAACAGAAGGGCTGCCTTTAGCAACCCGGCATAGCAGCTTACTTACTCCTCACGTTAGAAATAGAAAAATGAAGACATTAATGGAGAGCTGATAACGTGTCCTCACTAATTAACTGTGGAGTTTTGGCTCTACCTGTGAGTGTATTTGAAATGCAAGTAACCAGCAACAAAGAATAATGCTGTCACCTTTGATTGTGACTACTGATCACAGAATGAAGAACACATTTATGAGGAATAAAATCAAACCATTTAAACTTAGGTTAATGTGATAGAATATTTTGCAGCCATTAAAAAGACCCAACAACTATGTGGAAATATAGAAAAATATTTCATGGTGTAATATTATGAAAGAAAATTACAGATTATAAAATGTTAGCAGTGCTATGCTGTGTATGAGAATATGAATTTATATGGACAGGATGGATCATGAAGATAGTGAGAACAGTTCATGTATGGGGATAAGATTGGGAATATTTTAATGTATCTAATAAAAAATTATTTCCTTTACTGGAACACACTTATGGTCAGTAACTAAAAATCAGGACATATAACTAAATAACTAAAAACCCAGAAATTTAGAAAATGTATATGTACTAGTGTGTTAGTAAAATTAAACACTATAAGTAATGTAATAGCTTTATCTTGATATATAGCTTGAGAGTGATAACTTAAAAGGGATTCTTCTCTTACCTTAATAAAATGGATTTTAACATAACTTTAAATTCAGTTAAATCTGTAATATTGAATACCTACAATTGACTTTGGGATGGGGGCTTTTTCAGGTCATTAAGAGTGTTTTTTAAGATGATCTCATTGGTGGCAGTTCTCAGCCATCTCAAAAACTACAAGCTATTCAGTTAGAAATTCCTGTCTCAATTTTTTCACCTTAATGCTACCATGCTTTGTTCCTTTTTTTTTTAATCCTTACCTGAGGATATGTTTTTATTTTAATTTTATTTTAGTCGAAATATGTTTGTTTATTTCAGAGAGAGAAAGGGAGAGAGAGAGAGATTAAAATCATCAATGAGAGAAACATCAATTGGCTGCCTCCTGCATGCCCCCTACTGGGGATCGAGCTCAAAACCCAGGCATGTGCCCTGACCAGGAACTGAACCTGTGACCTCTTGGTGCATGGGATGACGCTCAACCAAATAAGCCACATTGGCCAGGGCCCGAGGATATGTTTTCATTGATTTTAGAGAGAGTTCAGGAAGGGGGGTGGTGAGAGAGAAACATTGATCTATTGCTTCCCATATGCGCCCCACCTGGGGATTGAACCTGCAACCTAGGTGTGTGCCCTGACCTGGAACCGAACTCACAGCCTTTTGGTGTATGGGATGACGCTCCAATCAACTGAGCCACCAAGCCAGGGCACCATGTTTTCTATTTTTATTTATTTTTGCTAAAGCATGTGAGAGTAAATTTATTACCGAAGTAATCTTGGGTTTCCCCTAATTTGCAATGAAGAAAATAATTCACTAGCTTTAACTTAACGAGTAACCAATGACCCGCCTCATACTGCACAGCTCATCAAAACTCATCTGTTGGTTCCAACACCAAGGGTGAGAATTACTAGAGGGGTTTCACAAAGTGCAAGATTTCCCCAACCTAGGACTGAACTGTATGAATAATTTTATATAAGTACATAATTGAAAGGGTCTTAATTTTATTTCTCAAATGTATGCCAACTTCTTAATAGCTATTTTGGGGAAACAAGTCCTTGAGATGACTCAATTCTTTTTGCATGAAAGTTGCTATTTGAAGCATCTTTGAGGCATGAGTTGACTTTTCATCCTATATTTTCAAACCCTATATTTACTTTTATATGTGATTAAAATTTTTTCTATTTAGCAATGGACAGCTGAGTCAGAATAGTCAGGGCCACTGTTATATTTAATGTGTTTACTTGGTCAGCCTGCTGACAACTGACTGAGTGGCCACAGTGGCTCCAGAAGTGGCCTCCAGGGAAGCTGAGGCAGGAGTGGGGGAAGGACAGGCGCAACCAAATAGATAAACAAGAGGAAATGGAATGACATCTTTGGGTAGCAGGAGCATAGAACCTCTAGAATTAGCATCCAGTATAGCGTGAGTTTTCTGCTCATAGGAGCAGGGCAGGTTTGAGGGCACTCTAAAATCTCTAGTCCTACTAGGTTTTTCCTTGCCTCTTCTGATTTTGCCCACCTCTTGCCTATCTAATCTTATTAAGATT